CTTGCTGGGAGGTGACAGTGCTAACCACTGCCTCACCGTGCCATCTGTGTATTTCTAAACTGTGCACAATCTCTCTGCTTTGGAGTCACCTAACATTTTAAATACTTTGTAACAAGATTCCTGTGTGCCAACAAATCTCATCTTACACGTGTACATAACATCATAAAGTGAAAGTAAGTTGTTTTTGTTTGTTGTTTAGTTTAGTTTTCAACACAACCAACCAACAGCTAACCATGTACGGTTGGTAGGGCAACAAATGGGATGAATTCCATTTGTATGAATGAATGTTACATTTAGTGAACAACATGGAGACCGAGTGTCGGCCGCATTAACTACTGAGCAACAACAGCCTCGCAGCTGTTTTGTGCTGGAGTTTACCGTTTACTACAGGCGGCGAGCGGCTTCTAGATACGATATGTCGTTGTGGATTTAACAGTTGCACCTGTGAGCAGGACAGACTGAGAAACGGTTCTGCACACAGTTATGTTACAGTTAATTTTTACTGGATATACTTTTAGATAATTACTCTGTTTACCCCTTATTTAGCTCAGAGTTGACAGGAAGTAGTGCTGCTCTGCCAAATTGTTGGTCTGACAGAGTAAATCGCATCAATGCACAGTCAATAGCACACCTGCTGGAGCTCTGTATCGCCTAGTTAACCACAGAGTTCACCTCCAGGTCAAGGTGAATATATATATATGTGTGTGTGTGTGTGTGTGTGTGTGTGAGAGAGAGAGAGAGAGAGATCTCGCTACACTCCCATAATTCTCGGGTTCCCCTGGGATAAAGGTAGGTGATGGGATGGAGCATACACACATCCAGCCAGCCTCTGGGTATCATCAAAACACACAAAGGACGGTTACTGGGTGTGGAGCGAACCCTTCACACAGGCACACAGAGCCAACAAAAGGCTGGAGAGAGAGTAATGAGAGTCTACAAAAACAGGAGACAGGAGGGGAGAGTGTGCATGGGAGAAACATGCACAGACAGTTAATCAAGCAAAGTCTGGGGAGAACGCTGTGGTCACAGTGATGCTTCTGCAGGAAGCTTCCTAACATTGAACAACTGTTGGTGTAACAACCTGCACCAACAGCAAGAATCTGACATTAACACAACCGCGACCTTCACTTTTAGCTGAAACCCAAACCTCAGCCTCTCTGCTCCATCAGTTGAAGCTTCTCAGTCCTGTGGCTTCATAATGTGACAGATCCATGATGCTTTTGGTAAATGCTGAACTTGACTACACCAGTACCGCAGTATTTGAACAGAACGCGCTGAAATGAAGTGTTAAATCCCAGTTAAGAGTCAATTTGTTATAATCAGAGGTTTGGCCAACTGGTTCAGACTGGATCCAGTAACAGAGCCAATAATGGGTAATTAATGAACTGGCTGAGTGTTTTCCTGGAGACCATTCAAACCTCATACTGGATTAATATGGGTTGAGGTCTAAGGCTTGTTTTTATAAAATGTTTTTACTAAATTTTATTACATTTTTTAAAATCTTAGGACAAGTTTTTATAGCCAGATGAATAGTTTTTGATAAATTCAAAGGGTGAAAGTGAGAAGAGGCAAAGGAATTCAGTAGGTCACGGCTGCTTTGCTTCACTGGATATGAAGTGTAATGTGACAAACGCACTTTGTTCTCTTGGCTGACAACAACGTAGCTGAAGAGGTTCACTCTAAAGTTCTCACACTTTCTAGGTCACCCTGGAAGAGACCTTCAGAAAAATGATGTAAGTAGGGCGACGTTCTACTTCTTTAGATGATGAAGTGTGAGCAGGGCTTTGGCTTTTTAACAAAACAACAACAAGAATTTAACTGTGTTTATTTTGCACTTAAAATTTAGGATGAGCATGGACTTTGTTCTGTTTTGGATATATTTGTACATGACACTAAAGTTGCTTAAACTCGCTTAATTAAAGCTTTAACAGGGAGGCAACAGTGGTGCGGTGGGTAGAGCAGTCGTCTCCAACCAGAAAGTTGAAGGTTCAAGTCTCAGTGCCTGCAGTCCACATGTCGAAGTGTCCTTGGGCAAGACACTGAACCCCCCCATTGTCCCTGATGGTTAGAGCCATTGGTGTGAGTTGGCGCCGCAGATGGCTGCCATCGGTTCTGTACCGGAAACAAATTCCTTGTGTGTAACATACTTGGATAATAAAGGTGGTTATCTTTATCCCGAGAAGTAAAATACAACATTACACATCGTTTGTGCCACCAGATGTTTATGACAAAATGTTACATGTGTTATTAATTATGACATGAGGAAAGGAGTAAGTATATAGAACAAAATCCCTGTTAGGGGGAGGATGGTTGTGTACACAGGACTTTCTTTCAGGAGCGCTGAGTTCAATTCCAGTGTGTGGCTTGTGCTTTTCAAGAGTTTTTGTTCTTAAACGTATCGATGTGGCCTTGTTCCTAAATGTGACTAAGTCGTTTTCCCCCCAAAACCTAACCAAGTACTTTTTGTACCTAATCATAACCAAGTGTTTGTGGCAAAACTGTGACAGTTTCATAATTGTAGTATCATATTTATGACAGTTTCCAAGATGATGGCGTTCTAGTAGCCTGCTGCTAGCTAGCCATCGTGTTTATAGCTGTTTCCATGACAACAAAGGTTTGTAAAGATCTGTAGTGCGAGAGATGTTGTTAATTTTGGTGTTGTTGTTCCTCCTGTGACCATAGGGAGCTATTTAATGATCTTCCCCCATGGACCCATGGGGGAAGGACAAATGATGACAAATGATGACATGGGCCTCACAGGTTGGAGGAGTTGTTAGTCCTGAGCATGAGGCAGTTGTACAGTGAAGCCAATGATACACTTCCACATCAATTTCATCATGTGAGGAGGTACATGTATACAGTACATCAGAGAGTGACTTCTGTTGAATGTCTTTTATAATAGAGGACTGTTTGATAGAGGACTTTTGTGGACTGACATGATCTGTCCTCAACAACCAGAATTTGACTTGTCCCTGTGTTTTATAGAGTCCCTGTGCTTAATGATGACTAAGGTCATTTATTACAGTGATCTTAGAGGGTGGTACAGGGCGTGCACCTCTCTCTCTGCATGTTTCGCCATCTGTTGTTGCAGCTGTAACAGCATCCACTTCTGACTGGTTTCATGCTGAAGGTGAGAGCTGGATGCTTATTCAGACACAATGCCAGCATTTTACTGTAGCCCCTTTTCCATCGCCTGGTACCAGCTCAACTCAACTCGACTCGACTCGACTCAACTCAACTCAGCTCTACTTGCTTTTGGTGCTTGGTTTTCCGCTGCAGACGGTCCCCTCTCAGTGTAGCTGGTTGTCATAGCGACACCGCATCACACTGCTGTGACGTCGAAATCAACCGACACAGTAACAATGAAGAACATCGACGGTACGCTGTTCTTGATTCTCTGTATGTGCCTGTTTTTAGTCAGCACAGTAAAGTAGACGTTGGCGTTAAATAATGTTGCTTTTAAAAACGGTGCTTTCCTTGTTCCAGGACGTCTCGCACGTTGATGGTGTGATTTCTCTGACCAATCACTAGTCTGCAGTGTTTACACATCACCGTTTGGTATCACCTCTACTCACTTGGAACCTCAGAGGTGATACCAAAACTAGTACCAGGTACCATCTCCAACATCTGACTGATGGAGAAACAAATAAGTCCCTTGTGGTGCTGGTGGCAGCTGCGGTGAACGCGGTCCCTCATAGAAATGAACAGAGAGGGCTAAAGATTTCAAACCTTTGAAACTCAGTCTGAACGTGGTCGTATGCAGGGTTGTAGAGAAAGAGTGACAAAGAGAAAAAATACACACAAACATATGTGTGTGTGTGTGTGTGTGTGTGGGAGAGAGAAAAGACAGATTACAATGAGATGAGGTGTGTGAATGTGTGTTTCTAAGGGAAACTGGGTTTTATAAAGTCCATCAGCACAGCAGGGGGAGAAGAAATCACTCCTGCTGGCGAAAGTGCTAATGGCTCTGCACTTTGAGTGTGTGTCTGTGTGTGTGCGCACTGATTGATTGAACGTGCCAAGTCCATCTCGCCATTCCCTGATGGGAGCCAAAGTGTGAAATTGCCAAAAACGTAAACAGCAAGTAATCAGGACAGACACACACATCAACAAACACACTTTCCTTCACCATTTAGTGCTCTCTCACTTTCTCTTTATAGCCCTCCCTTGTACACACACACACACACACACACTTCCACCTGTTCACCTCCACCTTTCTTTAATCACTGGTATTTTTATCCACTGTTATCCACTTTACCCACCCACCACCCCCATGTGCCCAGAGGAAAGTGTGAAAAGTGTCTCTGTATCACTGAATCATCACACAGCTACAAAACCACATTGCTGTCATAGACAGATCAATCACTGAGAGATGTTAATTAAAGGGCTCTGTTATGTTTGTGTCTCCTTCTCCCTCTCCAGCAGTATTTGTGTTTCCAGGCAGTTAGCAGATACCTACAAACACACACTTATAATGAAGATTTCACAGGATTGTTTGTGTGTGTGACACATTTAAGTACATAGTAGCCAAATGAGTTACTAAACAAGAAAAAAAGGAAAGGGGAGGGGAGGAAAATGGATCAAATGGATCAAACTTTGATCAGAAAAAAGACTGAGTGCACAGCCTGAAGCAGCAGAAAAGAACTCGCTGTGTGAACAGATAACCACCCAAGTCGAATGTGGAGTCGTTTGTCCCAGTAGCTGCATTCCCACTGCCATCGAAAGCTGAGGTGTGGTGAGTTTACAGGGGTCTTTTGGGCAGTGGGAAAGGGGCTATGGCGTTATTTTACTCCCTCAGTCTTAATTCTCTTGCCATCTTGTGAATTATGACTGATTATTGTGCTTCTTCAGGTTGTAAATGTAAACTTTCATTTGAATGGCAACAACTTGATCAGAGGAGAGATGAACAGAATAAACAGCACACGCTCTCAGGATGCAGAGGGCTGCAATGTTAGCTAAGACACAGGCTGATGGGTAAAGTATCAGGACACTGTACTCACAGCCGAGACAGGGCTTCATTCTTCTGAAACAGCAGCTCTGGAAGCTGGCTGAGGCGGTTCCTGTTGAGGCGACTGAATAAACCAAAAACAAAAATATGTAAAATTATAAAAATCTGCAGTGGAAACATTATGGTGAACTTAGCAGAGACGGTATCTTCATTCAGTTTGTGTTTGTGTGTGCTCTCACAGTCTTTCCAGCTCTTTCAGCTCATCAAAAGCTCCTCTCTCAACGTTACTGATCTGGTTCTCCATCAGATGCCTGCAATGACAATAATTGAAATAAACATTAAACTACACATCAGACAAGCTGAAAATTGAAATAGATCACTTTCAGCCCAGAGATTTTTCTGTATAGTCTTCATTCAGCACAAATGGCAAATCAGTTTGTCAGTTAAACAAACACTGTACACAGGTGCAAGCAATGCAAGCAATGTGTCCTGATAACTTACTTTGCCTTTTTACCACAAAAACACCATTCAAACTTACATTTATCTGTAGGAAAATGTCAGGACTTCTGCAGTTTTCATCTAGTTAAATGTAAAACTTAATTGAAGACCTATTTCACACCCACACTGGCAACAAAGTCTGTAGGATATGAAGAAAAATCAGCTGAGCTTTCATGTTGAATATAAATCAATTACTTTGCAAGTCATTCTGGGAAGAAGAACGACAACATAGTACCAATGTACTATACTCCAATGGCAGTGCTACTTTCTTCCCTAACCAACACAAAAAAGCACAACTGAAGTTAACGCGACATCACAGAGATAACATCAACTGAACATTTAAAATAATTAACCTAAATATGAACAATTATTTTTAAGACGTATCAAAACAGAGTTCAAGGCATTTCATGACTTTTTAAGGACTAAAATTCAGGTTATTAGATTTTAGACATTTTAAGGCCTGGCAGACATCGTGATGCATCAGTGCATCTGGGAAATGAAACTAATTATGGCAGTTATGGCTTGCCTTTTGGCAAAGGAAACAAAATTCAAGCAGGAGCACTTCATTGTTTTGCAAAGAGATAAGAAAACTGCATGAAACTGAAAAGTGCTTGCACAGAAAGTGATTCAACCAACAGTCTGACAAACCAAAACAAAAACAAACTGCAACATGATTCAGCCTGTCATCCATTAAAGTGACAACACGTTCTTCCTCCCACCGACTCTGCTGGTCTCTGTTTATTTGATAAACACTCCCCACAGACATCTGCATCATAAACCACTGGTGTAACACTCCATCCCCTCCTGACAGCAGCCAGCCCCGGGCTCCCAGCGGCCTGCTAATCTGTGTGGAGCGGGCCTCCGGAGATGTCATTAGTTCTTGGCATGTCAATGCTTTCAACGCCACATGTCCATCACTGACACTCAGCACCGTCACAGCCCTCAGGTCAACACGGGACAACACCGCTCATCCAGCCGCTCCCAGAGGATACAGTGTTTTCAGGTCAAAAGGTCACAGAGAAACCCTCCCTGCTGTTAATCTGACTGACACACACACCCAACAAGCACCTCTGGGTGACTCGTGTGTCACCGCTGAGCTAAAGCATCGTTCTGTGCCCTCTGGCTTTTGATGGCACCACAGAAATAATTCCCACATTCCTACCAGACTTGGAACTGGGAACGAATCTCTGCTGCTGCCCCATCAACTAAGAGCCTGGCAGCTGTGAGAAAAGCCTACGCCTCCTCATTTTCCACAAATTTACCTGGTGATAAATATAATGACTGTGTTGTTCTGGTTGTTATTGTCCTGATATCTATAATAAAATGTTGCCAACACTCCAGTAAAAACTGACAAGAGCTCAGTCCAACAACTGTAAACATCCAGAACACAAGTACATGTATCAGTGTGGCTGTGACTTACAGGACTCTGAGGTGTTTGAGGCCAGAGAAGTCTGTCTTGGTGACGACTGTCAGGTTGTTTCCATTCAGATCACTGAAAACCAAGACAAGAGCAGATTAGAGAGCAGAAAGTCAGTTTCATGGTGATGCAGCTGTGTGAACATCTGCCCTGCTAATGATAGTGACCCTCCTCTCACAACACTCATTCTGTTAATATCTGTTCATATCCTACCTCGACTTATTTTGGATAATCCACCAGACATGCACATTGTACAGACTGTGTATACTGTTTGTATTGTTTTAGGATTTTTACTGATCTCTAATCTGTATATTACTACAACCCTATTTTAGGTTCCTTCTTTATTGCAATGTTTGTATTAAATCATCCCTGCAGAGCTACTGTAACACCAGGATTTCTTACAAAGGAAGTTGATTAAACTCCACTCGAACTCACTTTCCTTTGTTTTTAAATCATGAAATGCTTTCACACTTTCTAGGAATTTACACTGTAAAAAAATCTCTGCATTGTAAAACATCGTGGGATATTTATTAAACCTGTTGCAAATTACCATCAGGTGCAGATAATATTGTGGCACCATAGTTGATTTACCATCAACACTGATGTGTTAATCTAAATACACCTTAGAATCTGATGCCTGACGGCTGCTGCGCACATGTGGACTGACATGAAGCGTGACAGACAGTCTGTGTTTACACTGACTAACTTTAATGTGGTTGAAGGAATCAACAAACATATTTTGGAACTGCGATCATGTCATCTTCTGCCAGTCAAATCATCTTTCATCTTGTTCAGTAATTGAAGCGTGGTGTGACCTGAAAGCCTGCACACGTCCTGTGCCAGAAATGAGCTGCAAAACCTTAGAACATATCTCCCGTTGTTTCTGCACTTTGAAGTTATTTTCACTCACTTTGCAGTGGGAGTTCACTTTGAGGACAATCTGCCTTGTTCTTTCTAACTGCAAGAAAACTGTTTCTCCCAGACTTTCGCAGTGATGAAACAGAAAGTGTTTGACAGGGCTGTCATGATGCTCCTCGGCCCAGCTTCCATTTTCAATTGCCCTCTCTAAAGGTTTCCTGTATTATTGCACACACTCCAAGTCACTTGAGTTAAAGGCTTCAGAGTCTTCCCATTTTGTTTACACAGTTCAGGTATTAACAGCTGCCTGTGTGCGTCATGTGATACTGCACTTAGCCAGGAAGTCTTTTCAGCACAGCCACAGAGGCTGCTCCTAGCAGGAGGGGCTTAACCTTATGACCTTATTGTCTTCTTTGATTGACAGCTGGGAAGAAAGAGAGGGAATGATGTCACTCTTCCCATGAGGCTTTGTGGAAGGAGAGGTAAACCGAGCCCCATGCACGCACCTGGATGTGTGTATACAGTATGTGCAGTGTCATGTTCCTGTGCTACTGTAAAGGGTGGAGCAGTCTGACCTTGTCCTGTTCTAACAGACAGAGTGAGTGGATGCTGCGGTTTGGGTGTGAGCCAGATCTGGAAATGCAAGCAAAAACACTCAGCAAAGTAGAAAAAGAGAAACGTGTGTGTTCATAACAGAAAATGAGCCCTGCAGAATGTGAGCACTTTGAATCATCAGAAAACCAAAAGGAGGTTGGTACACACAGCAGCACAGTGCCCGAGCTCTGAAGAGGAAACACACAGGTGTTGTTCTGGATGACGAACGGCCAGAAAAGACAAAACCACCGAATGTGTTGTCTAGTAGATTACATCATGAATGTATGTGTCTTTGTGGAAGAAAATGAATGGTTTAGATTAATCCAGTAATGGGTAAAGGATTTGATAGATGAATCAATATTAAAGAGTCATTAGTGGGAGCCCGACTTCCTAATGAAAACACGCCGCCAAGACCGTGATTTATGAGGAGAAGGACTGGAGGAGCACAGCTAGGGAGTGCACAAAGTTCTTCTTCCTTCTCTTTAACAAAACTGGTGCAGTGACAATGTCTGCATCTATTCAGTGTGGTTGAATTGTGGCCAACTGCCAAAACTCTGGCTTCACTGCAGTCACACAATCTAGTCAAGCCAAAGGCCGCACTAAAGTCAAGACTGTGACATTTGGGTGTTGAAAACAGAGAAACAGTCTCATCCCATTGGGAGAAAATGCCATGTGTGGAGGTCTTACAGTGTAAAGGATGGAGGAGGAGGAGGAGGAGGTGGTGGCTTTAATAGAGTGGGGGGGAGAAGCAGAGGATTGGCTTAGAGCGAGGGAGGGAAAGACGGATGGAGACAGGTCATGGCGGGGGGTCCAGAATCAATCCCTGGATGTGTGTGAAATTACCCTGACAGTTAGATCACACAGGCAAAACAAGCATCAGGAGGGGAAGAGACGCACAGCCAGCGATGGCCACATTTTCACACAGCAGGAGGGCGTGCGTAGCTGCTCGGGCTGACAGCAAGTCTGAACATATCAAGCAGTAACTGCAACATGCACAGAGAATTTGTCTTTGTTGTATGAGGAGTAGTAAAGAGACTGAACACAGCCCTGATGGAGCATGCTTAAGTGAGTTGTGTGCAGCATGATGGGGTCAGGGGTCAGCTGAGCGACAGACTCCCCTCCAGTGGTGACTCTGCCAAACAATGGCTCATTCAAGTGGGACGCGTCTCTCGCACACCCACGCAATCGCAGCCTCAGTGGGCAGTGAGGCAGATGATCCCCTCAGCTCTGCTCTCCACCCTTACATCTGACATGGAAGGAGGCAGGAAGAGGCGTCGCTCAGTCAGTCGACGTGGAGAGAGATGACAAAAACAAAAGACATCCACTGAGTGGAGGCACTGATCCTAGACATCGAGATACACACAACAACAAAACACACAGAGACCGATAAAGCAAAGACATCCAGTCTCAACTAGTCTGAATAAATGGACAAACAGAGACCGATAAAGCAAAGACATCCAGTCTCAACTAGTCTGAATAAACAAGGAAACAAGAATTTTTCTGCTTCATCAGGTGTTTAGTAAACAGCACTGGAATCCAGGTGTTCAGACCGAGTCTGGTAAAACGCTGCTGTGTTTTAACACAGGGGGCTGTGTTGGGCTGAAGGGTGTGGGGTTGCAAGAGGAGTGTTGTAGACGTGCATGACATGGCTATGTTGAGATGAGTCTACGTGAGCGGCTTCATTCACGTTTCCAGCTGTGAGTTTGTTGTGTTTTGGTTAGCCATGCTGCTAACGTAGCCTACTCTACCTTAGCACCGATTCTACCAACAGCGTGTCGGCACTGATAGGCAAAACACACTGTTTAACGTCCAATAACTTAACAAATGAACATCCATGGCATGCCATTATGGTGCAGTAATTGTGGCCCAAATTCAACAGTGAATGTCAGTCAATGCTCATGCTAACAAGGTAAACAAAAGTCTTCTTCCCATATGTAGACGTCCACGTCCCACTCGTTCCCTTATGCAATTGGTCAACGCAGGGTTTTTGCTGAAGGATGTCACCGTCCGATGTGATGCAAAAGCTGGATCTTTGTCAACTTTTTCACTGCACAGGGCTGCGTCGTTTTGCCGGAACTATCCCCCTGTGTCTGCTGTCTGCAATGAACACAATCCCCCACAGAAATGAAGAGGGCAGTGTGTGAATAAAGGCCAATAGACAGTCAGATTTCTTTAATCTGGACTGTGGAGAAGAAGACAAGGCAGGACCTCAATGTTGATATTTAGTGTAGATTGGCCTTATTCACCAGTAACAGAAACCAGTATAAACCATAGTAAACAACAGAAATGTACAAGCTTGGGGTGGTTTCATTCTGTTTTTGGTCATCAGAACAGGACAGTCAGTACGTGATGTTGCTCAGCAGGAGGTTTCTCTCACTTCCACTTGGACCAGGATCTGACCATGACTGATGTACTGCCTATATCAAATGAAGACTGGCAGCAAATATTCTACCAAGGAACCAAATCCAGCTGCTTTTATTGCTAAAATACAATCTGCCTAACACCTGCTTGTGAACTACTATCAAGTCAACACAGGATGTAAAAGTGTTTCTCATTGTCACCTCCTTTGTTTCTTCCTCCTCCTGATCTTTTCTTTGCCATCTCCTCCTTCCCCAGTTCACTCTCCTCGTCCCATCTTTTTCCCCAGATGCAGCACAGTGGATGTGACTAATATTAGCGACTGCACACATTCATGTCTAATGACACTTCATTAGTGGCATCTTTCCCGTTGAGAGGCTGCGGGGGAGATGGTAGGATGATTATAAAAGATGGCCGGGGAGAGAAGCTGGTGGCAGGAGCTGCTAATGAAACTGAGAAACGAGGTGTGTGCCTGTGTGAGAGAGAGATGAACCTGAGGAAAACAAAGCTACTACTTTACAATTGAATTATTCTCCTTATCAGCACCTGGTGTCTTCCCACTTACAGCTACTGAGATCGTAATATTTTAAGATACTGCCATTATCTCAGTACATGGAGGTGAATGTATTGCTCACAGTATTGAAGAACTACTTAAATAATAAAAGACCTCACAACAGCGTGCGCTTCTAGAAACTGTCCAGGTTCCTCAGGATGATCCACAGACCTCGCTGTGGGCTCGCTCCAAGCTCCCAGTGGGGTGTTCGCAATCCCAGTGAGCTCTGTGGATTGTCCTGAGCAACCTGGACACTGTTTCTGCAAAACAAATCTTAACAACAACAAATTTCAAATGGCGATTTTCAATGTTTGGGGATTAAGAAAATGTGCTGGGCCTGTGACACTTGGCGTCCACTGCTGTCATCACCAGATCAGAACTCTTCGAACATTTACCGGTTCTTGGCAGTCATTCTGAATTAAATGAAGGAGGCTTTCAGCGTTATACTCCAGCACTGACGCTCTCCAGAAAAAAAGCTCCAACTACAACTAGAGGAATTTGACTCGTTAGTTCTCAATATGTGATTAACTGTGAATGTGAAGAAAGAGGAACATGTATATTCATAATTTCTGGTAAAGTTTAGGTAAAATCTCCAGTAAATTCATTTAAATCAATGCAATAGTCCAACAAGTGGGATGCATTTGGTAGAGGTGTTAGACTCGAGTCATGTGACTTGAGTTGCAAATTCGAGGACTCGAGACCTGCTTGGCTA